TACACACACACACACACACACACACACACATATATATATTTCTAGAAAAAAATGACAGTGACTGCCACTCCATGAACCCCAGCAGAATGAATCCATCAGGCAAGGCAAGGAATTAAACAGGGAATAAAAAGGGAACCAATAACAGGAAAATAACATGACAGGGATAAGTCAATAACACATAACACTTTTAACCATCAGTGAAAATGTTCTCAATTCATTTAGTCCAAAGAAACAGACTGGTAGAATGTATCGGGAAGCAAGACCCAACAGTGTGCTGTATACAGGAAACACATTTAATTCAAACAGAAATGCATAGCCTGACAGTCAAAGGGTGGAAAACAATACTCCATATGATAGAAATCCAGAAAAAAAGTAGGCGTAGCTATGCTATTGGCAGACAAAATGGATTTTAAGCCAAGACTGATTAAAGGAGGGCTGGGGATTTAGCTCAGTGGTTGCGCCACCTGCCTTGCAAGTGCAAGGTCCAGAGTTTAATCCCCGGTACCAAAAATAAAAATAGAGACAAAGGAGGTTCACTATGTCCTTGGGAAGGGAATAATCCTGAAGAAGTGATAACAGTCATAAGTATATATGCACCAAATATTGGCACACACAACTACATAAACACTAATGGATATGAAAAGTCAGCTGCACATGGTACATTCTCCAAAACAGATCACATATTACCTCATAGAACATTTTGAAGTAAGTGCAAAGGAATTGAAATTATCCCATACATATTATCAGATTATAGTGCAATGAAAGTGGAAATCAATGGCAAAAGAAACATAAAAACTTCATAACACATGGAAATTAAATAACACCCTTCTGAACAATCAGTGGGTCACAGATGAAATTAAAGAAGAAATCAAATAGTTTCTATAATTAAACAATAATACCAGTAAAATATACCAGAATTCATGGGACACAGTGAAAGCAGTCTGAATCGAGATATAAAAACCTTATATGACTATCAAGAAGTGAAATTGAAGATGTAATCCTGCAAACAAAGAAAAGCCCAATCCCTGATAGATTCACTGCTGAATTCTACAAGAAATTTACAGAAGACTTAAAGCCACTACTTGTCAAGCTCTGTAATGAAATTGCAAGGGAAGCAAAACTAGGAAATTCACTCCTGGAGACAAGCATTACCCTGATACCAAAACCAGAGAAAGATCCAACCAAAAAGGAGAATTACAGGGCAGTCTCCTAAAGAATATAGATGCAGCCAGGAGTGGTGCCACATGCCTGTAATCCCAGAACTCGGGAGGTTGAGGCAGGAGGATCGCTGTGAGTTTGAGACTAGCCTGAAAAAAAAAGAAAACATAGATGCAACAATCCTCAATAAGATACTCAAAAACAGAATGCAGCAAATAATCAAGAAGATTATACACTGTGACCAGGTGGGGTTCATCCCAGAAATGCAGGGACAATTCAACATATGAAAATCAATAAATGTAATACACCATATTAATAGAGCCAAGGGCAAAAAACATGATCAACTCAATAGATGCATAAAAAAATTTGACAGAGTTCCACACTCATGATAAAAATCCTACAGAAAATTAGAATAGATGGTCTTTATCTCAGCCTGATAAAAGCTGTCTCAATCTAATAAAAACTATCAGTGACAAACCAATAGCCAACATCATACTAAATAGACAGAAACTGAATGCTTTCACTCTAAAATCAGGAACAAGAATGTCCACTATCACCACTCCTGTTCAGTGTAGTTCTGGAAACATTAGCCAGAGCGAGAGAAAGAAATAAAAGGAAGAAGGATAGGAAAGGAAGAAGTTAAATTATCATTATTTGAGGATGACATGATACTCTACAGAGAAGACCCCAAAAACTCCACCAGAAGAATTGTAGTTTTTTTGGTACCAGAAATGAACTCAGGACCTTGCACTTGCCAGGCAGGAGTGGTACCCCTGAGCTAAATCCCCAGCCCAAGACTTCTAAATTCAATAATCAGACTTAGTAATGTTGCTGGATACAAAGTCAGCACAAAAATCAATAGCAATTTTGAATACAAATAACAAAATCACTGAGAAAGAATTAGGAAAACAACACTTTTCAGTAATACAAAAAAAAAAAAAATGAGGGGCCGGACGTGGTGGCGCATGCCTGTAATCCCAGCACTCAGGAGGCTGAGGCAGGAGGATCGCTGTGAGTTCGAGATCAACCTGGGCTACATAGTGAGTTCCAGGTCAGTCTCAACTGAATAGTAAGACCGTCTCAAAAAAACAAAACAAAACAAAAAAAATCATACCACAGCAATATATGCACACCCTTGTTTATAGCAGCCCAATGTATAATAGTTAAATCTTGAAAATAGCTCAGATGCCCATTAACCAATGAATGGATAAGGAAGATGGCTTTTTTATACAATGGAGTACTACTCTGCCATAAAGGATAAGCTGGAGACATTTCTAGTTAAATGGATCCACCTTGAGACCATACTCTAAAGTGAAATAAATCAGACATACATGTTTAAATACTGCATTGTTTTCTCCTGTGTGAGAAACTGAAAGTTTATAAGGACAAAAATGTATTTTAAAAATTTGGGAAATGAAAACGGGAGGCCAGTGACTTAGCTCAGTAGCACCACACCTGCCTCTGAAGCCCGAGGTTACTGAGTTCGATCTCTGGTACAAAAAAAAAAAAAGAAAGAAAGAAAGAAAAAGTAAAGGGGAACAGGGAGAGAGGACAAGGAAAGAAATGGAAACAAAGCTTATGTAAATAAGGGCAGGAAGGATTGAAGGGGAGGGGAGTGGGAAAAAGATACATGTATAGGTATAAATTCCATGTCATATATGTTATCATTATATATATCTAAAATGTACCATAAAAACAAAGTTACACCAGGTGTGGTGGCTTATCCCTGTAATCCCAGGAGGCAGGAGGATTGCGGAGAGTTCGTAAGTTCGAGGCCAGCCTGAGCTTCATAATGAGTTCAGGGTTGGTCTGAACTACAGAATGAGACCCTGTCTCAGAACACCAAAAAACAAAGTTATGTTTTTTGTTTTTGTTTTTTTAAGTGAGGGGCCAGGGATTTAACTCAGCAATACCCCACCTGCCTCCTAAGTGCAAGGTCTTGAGTTTGATCCCTGGTACTGGAAAAAAAAAAAAAATAAGAGTGAAGAGAGGAGATACACTGTACATGTGTATAAAAATAGCCTTTACTGTTTTCAATTTAAAATATTTCTGTGGTTTGGGAATTTCAGTTTCTTAGAAGGAAGGACTGTGCCCATGTTAAACTTTAATGTGGATAGCTTTGTAGCGGTTATATATTGCTGGTAATTTAATTAATAGTTTCAGGTAAAAAGGAGCAGATCTATGTTTTAAGACAGGCATGAGCCAGACATGGTGGCACATGCCTGTAATCCCAGCACTCTGGAGGCTGAGGCAGGAGGATTGCCATGAATTCAAGGCCAGCCTGAACTACGTAGCAAGACCCTGATTCAGAAAACAAACAACAAAAACTGGCCTAATGGTGCACACCTAGAATTCCAGGGCTTTGAGAGGCCGTGGGAGGAAAATCACAATTTGAGCCCAAGCCTATGCAATTCAGAAACTTAGCAAGGACCTCTGGGAGAAAAAAAAAAGGAAAAAGAAACATTATGGGAAATGTTTAGAAAGTGAAACTGCTTCCATTTTCTTCTACCCTGTGTTTTTACTCTTAAGGTCCAAATCACCTTATAGGATGTTCTAAACAAGTGGTTCTAATAAATTCTTAGTCATTCTTGAATTGGCTATTTTCCTTAGAATTTCCTCATCTCATATTAACCAAGTATATATACTTTTATTTTCAGCTTCCTATACTTATTTCCTCCAATAAGAAGCATTTCCTTTATCACAAAAAAATTCACATTGATGAATCTTAACTTTCTTAAATTTAGAATAATTGTGAAAACTATTTCATTTTTCACATTATATCTCTTTCCTTTAATTTATTTGAAATTATTTGTATTTTGTAGACATCTGAGGAAGAAACTAAAGGTCTTCCAAGCAAAAAGGGAATTGTACAATCTATCGTTGGTCAAGGCTATCATCGTAAAATAGTTCTGGCATCACAGTCCATACAGAATACTGTATATAAGTAAGTATTTTGCAAAGAGAAAGTGTTCCACGTAAGGCACTTACATATAATAATATCCTTAAAATTTATCATGTCAAAGGAATAATTGCTTTGTTTCATTACAACTACAGTAAGCAGACCCTAGCATGGGTCCGTTGTGAGTGTTAGCTGATGTGGTGTCATTTAGTTTTACTATTCCGTGGGTGCTTGGAATTGACCTAAGAAACTGGTTGGTTCAGAGTCATTGTTCGGAATATCCAGAAGAG